TGTCTCAAAAAAAAAAAAAAAAAGAATGTGTATTTTTTACAAATGAATTTCACCCTCATTTGCACTGCTTTTCAGCATAGTAGGGACAGCGATGCCCTCTGGAGGGACACCCTGGACCTACAGTATGATTCCAAAACGTCTGGCACTTCAAAACAAATAATTATTCAAGTCATTTTTGAATGCTTACGGAGGTATTTAAAAACTATAAACAATGATAAAAGCACCTGTGTGGGTCAATAATGTTTAGAAAGTAATCCAGATCTGAGGTGTACCTGAAAGGGCAGTGTAAACAAGGGGATATGACATCAATTAAATCATTAAGTATTCTTACTTCTTATTCTGCAGAAGTCATGTCACAGGTGGCTCCTGGAACTCCTAAGTTACGTACAGCAGCCTGTTCTGCCAAGTTTCTGTCACAATGTATGTTCATAAAGTAAAGAAATAAGTGAAAGCTTTTGAAGACGAAAAGCTGTCTTTCCAACTTGATGCTACATAAGAACCATGGGTGTCACCAGAAAGAGGCAAAGGCAAGAAAAAGAAACAGACCCAGGAGATCAGAATACCACCTTAAAAATAACCACTCTTATCCTCACAATCCCCCTAAGTCCAAACCCAGTGACCCCCATATTGAAGGCTGCCACCTTGAGCCTCAGCCCTGAGCTGCACAGACAGGGGGGCAGATCCACTTGGAAGCCCTTTAGCCTCCACGGCTGTGCTCATGTTGTCCCCTCCCTCTGCCATGTCTGATGCCTTCCTCTTCTGCTCCACCTGGTTTTAAACTCAGTTAAGGCATTTCCTGCTCTATAAAGTCTTCCTGCTCTCTCCTGCCAATGTCCTCCTCTTCAGTAGCTCCAGGGTACTCTTCTGGAAGCTCTTTTACAGGAGACTGTATTATTTCATAGTTTCTTATTAAAATGTCTGCTTCTTACACAAGCCTGCTAGCCCCTTGAAACCAGACACCTTGGCTCATTCATGTTCATCTGGTACACAGCAGGTACTCAATAAATATTTGATGGAGGATGAATGGATGTACAGACAAGTGGATGGATGAAGAGGTGATAAAAATACAGGAACCTAAAAGGAAAGCTCTGAGGGACAAAAGATACTCTCCCTGCCTGGTTATGTACAAGAAGAGGGCAGAAGCAGGATGATGAGCACCAGCACAGCTGCCTTTGTGAGTGTCCCAACTCAAATGACCGTAGTGAATAAAAGCCTCCGGGAATCTTTACCCAGGGATGCCAAGAGCTCATAGTTCATGCGCATCACATCTCTGTACAGCTCCTTTTGCCGCTTGTCTAACATGCCCCACTCCTCCCGTGTGAAATACACCGCCACATCCTCGAACACCGACGGGAGCTCCTTCAACACAGGGACCTCCAACAGTCCCTCTTGAGAAAGGTCCTGCAACAAAGAGCAGCAGTCACTCGGCATGCCTCTGTCAGATGCCTGCATGACACTTCTGGGGGATGTCTTAAGACTCAGTCCTCCTGGGAAGCTCACCAAGCAGCCCAGATGCACTCTGAGGAGTTGGTTTATCCACTGAAAGTCACAGAATCAAATTCATGAGGCCCATAATTAGTAGGTAAAAACTAAACAAGCCTCAGTCAGGTCCTACCATCTCCTGGGAGGTAATAAAAACACATGGAAAAAAATAGGCATCTCAGAAGAGCCTGTACCTTGTCTTTAGAGAGAGTCCTGAGAGCAGTGCCTTCTACTCACCTACAACTACAGCAGTGACTTTCTGCCCCTAGGAGAACCTGCTAAGATTTCCCAGTGGGATAGGAAGGAAGAAGTGGTCAAAAAGAACTAAAGATGGTTATAATCAGTGACTAGGTTTACATATGCCTCACTGCTGGAAGATTTCTGATTATAATCTGTTTATTAGCTAAAAAATATCAGGAACATGAACATCAAAGAAAAGAAGAGAGCTTTGCTGTTTTTCTGCATTCTGGAAAAATATGAGCTTAGAAATGAGCCAGATTCCTTATGATGCTGGCTATGAGGAACAGCTGAGCTACACCCATTAGACTTCTGGAGGGGGGTATTAAAAATATGACAGTAAAATCCTACTTGTATGCAATAGGTGAGAAATGGAGAGGGTTTTAGTTACTCAAAGATTCCAATCAACAGTTTCCTTAGAGGGCAACTTTCCAAAGAATTCAATAATTACAAAATAAACCTAAAGTGAGCACAAGAGTCGCCCAGGGTCCTGCAGTCCTGTGGGCAGTGGAAGGACAGCACCAGCTGGCAGTCAAAGGCTCTGGGCAGAGTCCAGTATTTACAACAGCTCTTGGGCAATGAACATGTTACTTCCTCAGGTCTCAGTTTTCTCCCAACAAGATGAGTTTAATGACACTTGCTCTATTAGCATCAAGGAACATTACATTACATTAAACAATGTGTGAGAAAAGCTTCCAATGTTTAAAAGTGCTATGTGACTCCAAAGCTAAAATTAAAATGTAAAAAATACTGATTATTTAAGAGTTCTGTCACTGGCTTGGTGCCCATAGCACAGTGATTATGGTACCAACCACATGCACCAAGGCTGGCAGGTTCGAATCCAGCCTGGGCCTGCTAAACAACGACAACTGCAACCAAAAAATAGCCAGGCGTTGTGGCAGGCACCTGTAGTCCCAGCTACTTGGGAGACTGAGGCAAGAGAATTGCTTAAGCCCAAAGAGTTTTGAGGTTTCTGTGAACTGTGACACCACCGCATTCTACCCAGGGTGACATCTGTCTCAAAAAAGACAGACAGAAAGACAGAAAGAAAGAAAGAGTTCTGTCACTGTTTTGTGCTTCTTATTTCCTAAAGTTAGAGTTCTGTGTTTGTTTTGGACTGTAAATGAAAATTATTGCTCCTTTTATATTGGAAGTTAGAATGCCCTTTCCCACTAATTGTGCACTGTTATTTCTAAAAAGATGGTAGTAATATTATTGTTTGAATTAAATAATATATTTAAAACACTTAAAACAATGCCTAATACATTATTAGTGTATTAGCTTACAACATTATAATAATTACAGTATTGTTATTATTATTTACATTATCATTAAGCAATATATGTTATTCTCAGTACATAACCCTTTTCTGGAAGATAGAGCAACCATTATAAATGTATTACCTGACTGTAGGATTCAATAGCACCATTACATAAGATATTAATATTTGAGGAGATGTTGCTGTCATCAGTGATTTCTTTTTGCCTCAAATCTGAAATGCAGTCTAGATACAAAGCAGGATTTGTTCTATTCCCTCCAGGGTCCTCTAGTTCAGCTCTTGGGCTTGGCAGAAGCTCAGCCATGCTACTCAAATCTCCCAGAGACCCTGGGGGATAGAATAGGGGATAATCTGCAGTGAAGAGGTGCTCTGGGCTGGCCAGTACATCTCCAGATGAATCTCTGATGCTCCGGAAACGAGCTGCCCAAATGGGGTCCCTTGATGCCAAGGCATTGACACAGAACATATGAGCTTTGCTCTTGGCATGGTATTTGAGCGTCTCTACTTTAAATGGTCCTGTATAACCTTCTATTAATCTTGAACGTCTGTCCCTGAGAGATGGGTATTCTCGGCAAGCACAGCAAAACAGAGTTGTTTGTTCCTCATTCATGATCAACCATGGAAACTGTGCAAACCATGACTTCTGGATAGATCGCGGCCTCAAGAGTTTCTTGCTTCTTCCTGTCCAGTCTCCCTCAATGGTGCCATTCTCTGTACTGAAGTGGGAAAGGCAGGCTTTCTTGTCAGGCGGAGTGTATCGTTCACTTTCTCTGATGGGACCCTGAACATCTATCTCTTCCATATAGCCCATCTGGTTTTTTCCTTTAGAGAAGAAAGAAAAATGGAATTTGCTTTGAAATCCTATAGTTAGAGCCCTGCAAACGTGAAAGTTGGGAAGCGCACCCTCAGACCAAAGTGACACAACCTCCTCTTGAATTCTCTTCTTCCAGGTCCTCCAACTTCACAGGCCTGTGCCTCACCTAACCCAGAAGAAAGTCAAAGGGATGGACTTTTACAAACGCTCCTCCTTTTTTCCCTTTAAAGAACAGATACACCTGGCTAGGAGATTTTTGCAATTTCATATGAATTGTAAGACAGTGGCACTATCTTCAGGGGCCAACACTCATGGATAAGAACATTGATATGATGGAACACAGGGTTATAAAAAAATCATTGCTCAGTAGGAACCCCTCTGTAGTAGGCCTGACAGACAGGAATCTGTATTTTGCTTAAGTACTTTCTAGGACAAGAGCTCTATCTATCTCCTGGGCAGGGGTTTTGGTCCCCAGACAGTTTCCCTGAAGCTGATATCTGTCTTTGAATCCCTGTTCCTCAAAAATGCTGGCTGTTGATCTAGCCCTCAAATCTAATTCGTCTCATACATCACAACCCATTAAAGAGGTGGGAATTCTTAGGATCTCATTAAGATTTTTCTTCTTCAAGCTGAACTAGAAGTTTCTTTTTTTCTTTTTTAGAAGTTTCTTTACTCACTCTTTAGATGAAATGCAACTCTGATGACTAAGTTCTCAGGAACCATTTCTTTGCTTTTTTCTTTTTTTAGAGATAAGAGTCTCACTTTCTTGCCCTTGGTAGAGTGCTGTGGTGTCAGAGCTCACAGCAACCCCCAGCTCTTGGGCTTAGCTGATTCTCTTGCCTCAGCCTCCGGAGTATCTGGGACTACAGGCACCCACTACAATGCCTGGCTTTTTTTGTTGTTGCAGTTTGGCTGGGGCCAGGTTCGAACCCGCCACCCTCAGTATATGGGGCCAGTGCCCTACTCACTGAGCCACAAGCACCACCCTGGAACCATTTCTTATAGACCAACATAAAAGTTCAAGTGTCCAGTGGCCAAGAACTCAACATTTTGTGAGTCAGGCCAATAAACTAAGACTGGTCTATTGCATAGTCACAAAATTGTAAATAACCTAAGAGCACAAAGCTTTTAATTAATGAAGAGTCAACAGGCTCAAAATTAAGAGCCAAGCAAAAAGAAATGAAACAAAACAAATTATTCTCTGTGATACTTCAGAGTCACACAGCAGTCTAGTGCTCCTGTGGTCCATCTGAGAGAAATCACAAGGTAGAGCCAACTTTTGTGACTTCATTCATACAGCATCTCGTTCCTACTCCCCTCTTCTCCTATGGTTGGAGGCTGGATTAACTCAGCCACCTGGCTTGGCTTTAGCTAAGCCAACCCCTGAATAGGAGAGGCTTACTAAAGGAGCAAAGAAAAGATAAATCCCTAGAACTCAGCAGACAGCTGCTCATTAATTCGCTGACAATCTCCTGTGCAACTGCTGTGTGCCAGGCATTGTTCTAGGCTCTGGGAATATGGTAGTAAATAAGACAAAATCATGGTTTCATGTACCATCATAATTATAAATGAACACATACTGTCAGGTAGAAATAAAATAAAGGGAGATGAGAAGTTGGAGAAGGATGTTGGGAGAGGTGTGTCTATCTAGTTAAGGTGACAACTGGCTGCATTTGTTGTATAAGTTGGTAGAGAATAGGGAGGGTAGAGGATGAAACTGAAAACTGGTGCCCAGCACCTGCTCCCTCTCCAGCTGAGCACCCATGTCCAGTACGAGTCCACACTCACCTAGGTGATGGTCCAGGAGACTCCTCTGACTTTGGACATTGCCTAGCCATGGCTCTGGCCCTCGCCCAAACTTATAGAACAGCTCTGGATTGGCAACAGTTGGTCCTGAGTCAGGAACAGAGAAAAACATTATGAGGGCCTGACTCTACATCATAACATTAAGGAGAGATCTATCTGTGCATCCTCTCAGCATGGTAAGATAATGAATCAAGGAAGAAAGTAGAAATTTGGTTTAGTGCAGTGGTTTAGAAAGTTGGAGTTCAAGAATAGGGTCTAGGTGAAAAGGAACAAGGGTACCACAAACCCAAATGCTGGGGAGAGGCCTGTCCAATAACATAACTAAGGAAACCAGGCTGAGCCTGGGGATTTGTGACACTCTAGAGGACTTAATTCTGCATACGGGGCAGGTTTTACTCAACTCCAGAAGACTGTCACATTGCCCTGTTTATCAAGAGAAGCCAGAAATTTGTATTTTCTTTCTTTTTTTTTTTTTTTTTTTTTTTTGAGACAGAGCCTCAAGCTATCCCCCTGGGTAGAGTGCCATGGCATCACGCTCACAGCAACCTCCAACTCCTGGGCCCAAGCGCGTCTCCTGCCTCAGCCTCCCAAGTAGCTGTGACCACAGGCGCCCGCCACAACTCCTGGCCACCTCTTGGTTGCAGCCATCATCGTTGTTTGGCGGGCCCAGGCTGGGGATTCGAACCCGCCACCTTAGGTGCACGTGGCTGGCACCCTAGCCGCCTGAGCCACAGGCGCCGAGCTGAAATTTGTATTTTCATGGGAAAACTCTTGAAGGTTAAATATTGGTAGCTCACTTATTTTTAAGAAGCCAAACGAAACCAGTGGAAGCCAAAAAACAAAGAAAACAAAACAAAATAAAATTCCAATCTGTGAGCCAAATCCAGCCCATGAGCAACTTTGCAATTTCTGGGTTAGAAGAGTTAATGGTTTCTGAGTCTTTTTTAGTAGGAAGATGACCCAAACCAGCTACAATTGTTCCACCCACAAAAGACTGTTGCTTTTGCCATGCCTTGGGGGAAGGACCAAGGCAAAACAAGGAAAGCACACAGACTGTTACCAAATTGGAGCCGGGTGCGGTGGCCCATTCCTGTAGCCCTAGCACTCTGGGAGGCTGAGTCAGGCAGACTGCCTGAGCTTAGGAGTTCAAGACCAATCTGATCTAGAACAAGACCCTGTCTCTAAAAAATAGGTGAGGGTTGTGGCAGGTGTCAGTAGTCCCAGCTAATCGGGAGGTTGAGGAAGAGAATCACTTGAGCTCAAGAGTTTGATGTTGCTGTAAGCTATGACACCACAGCACTCTACTCAGGGCAACAAAATGAGATTCTGTCTCAAGAAAAAGAAAAAAAAAGGAAGAAAAAGAAATCAGCAAACAGTACATATGTGGGCATATACATATTGAAATGCAACCACTGTTGTCCTGGGTGCAGAAAGTCTACCCAAGGAAGTAAAGAATATCCAGGAAAGGCTCGGCGCCTGTGGCTCAAGCGGCTAAGGAGCCAGCCACATACACCTAAGGTGGCGGGTTCGAATCCCCAGCCCGGGCCCGCCAAACAACAATGACGGCTGCAACCAAAAAATGGCCAGGTGTTGT